GGCTTCGTTTTCAGTCAGTGTCGGTGCCAGACGGGTGGAGCTTGTGGAGGACGGAGCTTATAGAAAGCTGCTCCAATGTGGAGTTCTTCCACCTTCAGGTGGCGTTAGTTACTGTGTTGATCCGTCCACTGGTTCCGTCTGATTGTATTCATTTTAAACTCTGAGTCGTCGGTCTGGTGGTTTTGTGTGTCTTCATGTTGGTTTGCTGCTTGTTGTGATGTTCCCGTTGTGTGTCTTTGTGTTGGTCTTCTGCTTCTGTTGTGTCTCTTTCATCACTTCTGCCTCTGATTCGGGCCGTCTGCGTCCTGTCCTGGTTCTGTTTTGTTGTTTGTTGTTTGTGCTGATGTGACGTCAGTTTGATGCGTCTGTCGGTCTGACGGCTGTTTGTTGTTGTTGTTGTTGTTGTTGTTGTTGTTGTTGTTGTTGTTGTTGTTGTTGTTGTTGTGAGCCTTTATGGTCGCGTCACATCTCTGTGGTTGTTTGTGTATCGGTGGGTCATCTTCATCCTCTTTCTGATCTTCTTGTTTTCATTCGTGGCCGTTTCTGCTTTTGTGTCTCCGTTTCTTAGTTTCTGCCTCTGAGGTCCGTTTGGGTCCTGTTCTGGTCTCGTTGTCTCGTTATAAATGTTCTTTATTATTTGCTTACGTCTCTTTCTGGTTGTTTTGTGTCTTTAAAGTTCTGTGGCGTATGTTCTGAGTTCTCTTCAGCCTCTCTGTGCTGTTTGGGTCTCTGTCCGTCCTCTGAGGACCTCTGACCCGTCCCGACCTTGATTTCTTCTCTGGTTCTGTTTGCTTCTCGGACTCGTGGAGGAAAGCCCGGCACTGCTGACTGACAGCGGCTGATGACACACTGTGAACCTGGTGTTTAATTATCCTCCGTGTGTCACAGAGAGTTCATGAATAAATAATTGATTGTGAGCATCGTGAGTCGGGACCGGGACTCGACTGCATGCGATCAATAATGATGAGAGGGAGGAAACGGGACCCGGTGGGCCCGAGTTCTGGTGCTGCTTCACAGACAGCTTTAACAGATGACATGAGCGAGGTTTAGCTGCTGGATGTGTGAGCGTTGGAGGATCTCCAGCAGCTGACTGACTGTTATTGTGGTGGAGCTGTGCGGTATCCGTCTGCGGCTCCCCACTGTGAGCTGAAATAAAGACGAGCTGAGCAAGTCGCCGTACGTCGCGAGACGTTTCTTCAGCTTATCGAGCGCTGAAACCGCCCTTCAGGGGCACATTGGAGGGAAAACCAAATCACCTTTTGTGTACGTGCAGCGTGTGTGTGCCGTACGTCTCCGTCCTGCTGAGCTTATTGTAACGGATTCCATAAATGAAAGACATCCATCTGAGAGCAGGAGGCTGAACAGCGACGCGCTGGAGGCTCCGCCAGCTCCAGGACGGAGCGCCGTCTGACGAAACTGGACTCTTCTTTAACAGCAGCCTCCACAGAACACAGTTTAATCCCCTCAGTGGGTTCAGCTTCTAGAACATGTGAGAATATTCTAGTAATGTGTAGAAAGATGAGACTGATTCGTCCCAGAGTGGAGGAAGTTACAGCAGCAAACGCTTCAGGAATAAAAATTAGAATAAACCAAAACATACGTAAATACTAGTTCTAAAATAAATAACATTTTACTGACATGTAATAGAATATAATAATAAAATGTCTGAATGTGGCTTAAACAGATCAGTCTAGTCGTGAGAACGTCGCATGAGAGGGTCTCCGAGGTGTGTTCAGATCTACTTTGTCACATATACAGCTGTACACAGTGAAATGTGTTCTGTACCCGCATTCAGCTGCAATAGAAACTACAATAAAACACCTAAATGTTCAAGAAATATATATACATAGATAAACCAAATCAAATAAACTCTGATCAAATAGAGCAACTGGAGCATGTGCTGCACAAGGTGCAACAACATTTAAAGGTGCCAGTGAGCAGTGCATCAGTCCAGTGTACAGAGCTGGTGGGTAGCTCAGCAGTCAGCACCATGGAAGACCACTAGAAAATAGAATAAAATTAAATGTATACAAATATATTTATATGTACAGTAACGAGGTAGAACCGTAAGCAGGCGGTACGCTGGACGTGTATTATGTGTAATTACAGTCGTATAATTATGACTTCATGTCTTTCTATTAACTCTGTGTTCAGAATAAAGCCGCCGCTCTTCACCACATCCTGAACTGGTGACTCACAGGATTACTGGATCACAAACCTGCACGTCAGGATGAAGTGTTGGGTCGTCGTGCTGGCTGTAGGTCGTAGTAACCGTGTGTGTGTGTGTGTGTGTGTGTGTGTGTGTGTGTGTGTGTGTGACTGAGCTCTGAGCTTCCTGATAATTATAATAAATATTAATTATTAGATCTAACTGAAGATTTTAAGTGGAGACGGAAAACTCTGGTGATCCGCCTCCTGGCTCCGTCTCTGAGTTGTTTATAAAAGTGCTACAGAAAACATAGGTGTTATTATTATTATTATTATTATTGTTATTAATAACATTTTTATTATTGTTGTTATCAATATTATTATTATATTATCAATAATAATAACTATTATTTATTATTATTATTATTATTATTAATAATAATAATAATAATAATAATAATAATAATAATGTGGGACGTGTTCAGGATCTGGACTTGCTCACCGACACACAGCAGGTCGATCAGCTGACTGCATCCTTACCTGCTCAGGTAGACGACGTCTGAACCACCTGGAGATTAGAGGCCCAGAAAACCTCCTCATCCCTGCAGCATCCTTGTTTATAGTCACTCCCGATCTGACTCTGACTCTGTTCGGTCCACTTCAGCCTCAGAGTTTACAGCCGTCCTGGGGTTTGGACCGAATCTGCTCTGAGACGCCTTCAGCGATCGTCTTGTGTTTACTGCATCCATCGTCTTTACTGTCTGACTGATGGACTTCATGTGGTTCTGGTTCTGCTAATAATAATAATTCTGTTAATGAGCCTGTGTTGTTTCTCTGACCGTAGAGCTGCTGCAGCTGGACGTCGGTGTGTTTTCTGCTATCAGGGTTTCTGTTGGTTCCCACCAGCTGACCTCTGACCAAGGTGGGCGTTTGGTTCTGAACCGTAGAACCCTGCAGCTCAGCAGCTTCCCTCAGAACAACACCACCGCCTGAGATCAGGTTTAATCCTGATGCCTGACGGGAGCGTTACCTGATTGGCTGCTTGGATGATTACGTCACCATGCAGGTGAGCAGCTGATCCTGATGAGGTGCAGATCCACACGTTTAAACAATTCTCTGAGCATTTTAATAAATGAACTCGTTTGAATCGGCCTAATTAGGACGAAGGTTTTATGCACCAGCTGGTTTCTGGAGGCCTCGTCCTCGTTGTTCATAAGAAAAGAATCAAATCAGCTGATTTTACCTGAAAACATTGGAGGAAAAATTCAAATCATTTTTTTTATAATTAAATAAAAGTCGCTAAAGCTGTAACAAATTTAACTTAAACACTGAAAGCTGGAATTCTAATTTTAATCCTAAATGACAGATTGGATTAAAATCTGTAATATCACCTGAAGATGAAGCTGCGGTCCGTCTCAATCAGAACTACGGGTTCTGTAGAAGGTTCTTATTATTGTGACTTCAGTCCTGATCAGAATGACTTCATGTGTCAGATTAATAAACACACGTTCTGAGTTAATCACACACAAAAATTAACTCGTTCAATTAGTATTTCCGCATTTTAAAATGATTCTTCTGCACTTAATTCCCACCAGCATGAACACAGGTTGGCAAATATTTTAGGAAGTGAAGCAGCTTTAATGAGATTCTGTTTGTAGTTTGTGTTCAGTGTCGGAGCTTTCAGCTAATTATTATCTTCAGTATTTAAAATGTCTGACTGTGTATTTAAAGACAACACATTTAAATTAAAACAACGACTTTGGGTTTAAATTACACAAAGCGTTGAGTTGATGCAACATAATTAAGACAACTCAGAATAATTATTTAATTTAAACGTTTCACTGAAATCAAAGCAGATTTTTTTCATGTTGCATTTAAGTGTTTAATAAATCCCCTCAACTCATTATTTAGGTCTGCTTTTAGTTACGGTCCAGACACTCAGAACCGGTGCCGTATTTAATTCTGTCGTCATATTTACCGGGAGACGCTCAGAAGAGCAGGACTGCTGTTTGCTGCCGGAGCCGCAGCAGCAGTTTGTGTCCAAAGCACAGCAGAAGGTAAAATACATGTTTGTTTTTTAAAACCCGCCTTTTGAGCTCTTTTTGACTGCTGCTTCTGGATTAGGCCGCTAAGCAGATGCAGGAGACCGAGGCCGCCATATGCAAAATCATAATCCATATGTGTTGTGTGTAATGTGAGCGCGCGGTAAGCAGCTTTGGGCCGCGGCTCCGCGCCACATGCTGCTTCATATAATGTCCAATAAACATCCGCAGCCTGCTTCACTCTATAGGCTCCATTTTGTTGCTGCTCCTGCTGCGCTGCTCGGCGGAGAGGAGCTCCGGCTCCGCGCGTCACTGCCGGCCGACGCCTGTAGGTGGCGCTCAGAGCGCAGGAGAGACGCAGCTTCCCTCTGCGGCCGGCCGGAGCCGAGCGAGAGAGAGACGGAGAGAGAGATGGCAGAGAGGCAGAAACATTTATTTACTGTATGAGAGCAGCAGCAGAGTTTAACTGTTGGAGCGGAAACACAGAAAAGAGGAGAATCTGCGCGTCTCCATCCTTTTACGCGCAGAGCTCCGGTTTGGAGAGGTGGGGACCTGTGGCTCCGGCGGCCGCAGCGCACTTTAAACGGAACAAAGTCCAACCGAGCAGCGGCTCAGCTTCTCACAAACGGCAGCAGAGAAAATCTGTGTAAGAAAAAAACAGAAAATGTTGGGAAATCCACGAAGTTGTTGGGGAGGAAGCTCGCTCCGCCTCCGCTCCCCGCTGTAGAGTAGAGAGGGGGAGGAGAGGGGAGGACGGGGCGAGGGAGGGAGGGAGAGAAGCGACGAGCGCAGTCGTTTGGATTCACTCCACTTTCTCATCACACACGGTGCAGCCGCTCGACCTGCTCCGTGCCGGACCGGGAGGCGGACAGAGTTTGTGGCGGCAGAGCAGCGACCGCGCGTCGGGCTGGAAACTAACTGGACGAGCGCCGCCGGTGACTCCCGGAACCTACCGGACCTTGGTGCTTCTTGCTTGGGCGTTTTTTCTCCTTTTCCCTGCCGGTGCTCCGTCCACATCCAGCAGCCCTCCACCCCACCTCCCAGCGCGCCGTCAGCGGAGGATGCTGCCGCGGTCGGTGCCAACCTGCCGGTGGTAACGCTTCACGGAGTAGCTGAGAGTGACCCCCAGCCGCCTCCTCACCCGTCCGGACGGGTCTCCCCCCTCCGGCTGGACTCCAGCCGCTCCTCCGGTGAGGACGAAGCAGCGGCGGTGACGCGCAGCGCTGGTCACGACAGTAAAAGTGGACAGAAATTGTGAGAGAATTTGGAGGAATAATCATCCCGCTGGATTGTTTGATTTGTTTGCAGATCTTTTTGTAGACGTTGTGGATTCTTAATTTCGGGCTTTTTCCGCGGAGGTCTGGAGCGGCTCCGTCTGGGCACCGAGGAGGAGCGGAGCCTGTAGCCGGGCTGGAGCGCTCAGAGCTGGGGAACCGCGCGGCTCTCACCCGGTCCAGGTAGGAAGTTCTCTCCGCAGAGCCGCTGCACACACAGTGTCGTTGTGACACCTTTAAATAAACACATTCCTGTCAGATATTCTCCGTTTCGGCCGCTGAACGCTGCTGGCAGGCGGCGGGAGACGCTTTACGCACGAGAGCAGTCCGAGTATTTGCACTTTATCCGCTATTTCTCCTGGATGAGCACTTGGACCGTAATTAAAAAACACACGTAGTCGATGGAGGATGACTGTGAGACGCACACAGGCGGTGTTCAGCCCCAGCAGCTCTGTTTTAAACACTTGTTGGTAAAATGAAGCCGTCTGAGGGGCCGAATGTTCATATTCTGCGTCTAATCTGCGCTGATGGCTGTTTCTCCGATGTTCCACTACACAGCTATTGATCCGTATCGATCCCCTCCGTCCTCAACACTACCTCCACGTCTGTCAGTAATAAAATACAGCTTCCTGCGGGTCACTCCGGGTTTCCTAACCTTTCCCAAACTGAATAATCACTACGGTGATCCAGTGTAATGCGCGTGAGGACGTGCGCGGCTCCCTATAGTGCCTATAGGAGCATCAGCACAGCGGGGCTTCATTATGGCTCCATCTGAGGCTCCCAGAGTTCTGCAGGGACTCGGGCTCTGTGGAGGAGGAGGAGGAGAGAAAATGGCAGGAAAGCAGCTCGTCGCTACAATCACAGGTCTGTGTTCTACTGTAAAACTGGAGCTGGTCTGCCTTCAGGGGCCCAACAGAACCGTCCCTTCACCTGCCCATGAAGCCGCCTCACAGCTTCTATCTGGGTCCATACCTGCTCCTGAGCAGCACCTGAGGCCGGAGCACCTGTGGCACCGCCGAACCCTCCAGTGAAGGTTTCTGATGCAAAACACAGCCTCTGGAGTTTCAGGGTAAACGGAGAATATCCAGCGTTAGTCAGCGGAGGGGAATCCAGTCGGTCCGGTTCCTCCGGTCCTCCTCCCTGCAAGAGAGAGAGAGAGAGGGAGGGAGGGAGGGGAGGTGGGCGTCCGAGCTGCTCTACATGATAGGGGGAGGGAGGAGGGGGGAGGGAGGGGGAGTCGGTATTTACATGCAAACTGCATCCGCCTCCTGACGGAGCTGTGGGAGGAAGCGCCGCCGCTGTGCTCGTTTTCTAACATACGCTCTCCGTGACGGAGCCGTAGAACACTTGACCTCTGACCTCGCCGTGTTGCTCACGTTCCCCCCTGATGAGAAACACTCGGATGATCCGGAGAGCTTCTCATGATCACGCTGGGCCTCGAGGCGCAGCAGAACCCGGCTCAGCGGGCCCGTCTATTTCCTGGAGCTGCTGCTTTGGGATGAAAATGCACCGAAGTAGATGCAGCTGGGCTTCGTTGTACGAACACATTAGAAGCCTCAGAGGTCCGGGTTGTGGTTTCTGGTCTAACTGGAGGCTTTCCCCTGAGCACCAGATCGGTGTCCTCCGTCCGGCAGCACGGCGGGCCTGGGCTGCAGAGGCTCCGGCTGAGGTTTTGCGGCCGGTTTAGGCCCTAATGTCACCCGAGCCGCTGCCAAGTCGCCGGGCGAGGTCTGAGGTCTGATCCCAGCTTTGGGATGCCTCTCTGCCTCCTCTAATTTGGAGGCGCATCCGTCCAATTTAGAGCCGATAAAACAACCACGAACGTCACGGCGGCCCCAGAGGGAGGAGGTGAGGTCTGGCGGGGGAGGGAGGCAGCGAAAACCATTTACCAAGGGAGATGAGGGAGGTGGACCGGAGTCCGTTCTGCACATTTCTGCGTAAAAATTGGAGATGTGAGCGGCCGTGTTGTTAATGCTGTCATTAAAATGGGAGCCGGTGGAGTGGAAATGGATGCACACACACATTCACGCCGCCGCTCGGCAGGAAAAGAGGCGTCCACGCTTCCGATTTCAGAGCTTTCACGGCAGGTTTCCCGTCTTGTGTCGGCTCAGGTGTGACGACGGGGAGGCAAAAAGTCACATTAACACACAAAAGCAGTAATTATGAGGTTAGACAAAAGACAGCCGGAAGCTTGGTGGTGTCTGTGTGATGTGACGAAGCCGGTTAGTCCATGAATCAGTGTCCGGGCTTTATGGTGCAGAACCTGTTAGTCGATACGGGAAACCACACTCACACCTCTGGCATCTCAGAGATTCCTGAAGGAAGTTTAATCACCAATAAACAAATGAATCGGGACTCGGCTCATCGATGGTGTAAAGTCCAGTGACGTGTCAGCTGTTATCAGATGACTCAAACACGACGGCCCTCGCCACGGTTCTGTCTGTCACGTCTCAGCATCCATAAAAGCCGTCGCTGTGTTGAGCTGCAACCAGTCAGTCAGATGTGAGGAGGTTCCACCTGATGAAAGCTCCGACTGGAGGCTAACGGGGACCACAGAGCCCAGCGTGAAAGCCTCATGAAGCCACGTTAACAGCCCCTCATTGCTGCTTTCTGGGCGTGTTTCATGTTTCAGCTCCATTCTGCTCTATTAGGGTGAGGCGAGTGGAGGTGACGGCTCCGTTTGGCTTTCTTCATTTGTTATTTTCTCTTCTGTAGAACCGCAGCTCAGATGCGTCTCCTGCTGCAGCCCTACAGCTCGCATCAGTGTAATAGCGCAGACTGTGGAGAACGCTGTGGATTCACGTCGCAGAGGTTTATATCAGCTCGCCAACGTGCTCCACTCCTGCTCTGCTATAATAAGGCAGCGAGTCACAGGGGAACTCGGGCCACGGTACTGTCACGGCTCGGAGAGGAGGCTCCGGCCTGACGCTGGAGCCAGAAGAGCTCCCCACCGCTCCACGGCGAAACGCAAAATAAAATCCTGCAGGGAGTCGTAAACGGCTAATTTCATGTGCGGCCCTGCAGACGTTTAGATGCTTTACCGGCCCGCAGATGGACAGATGTGATTGTTTCCTGCCATAAATGTGACTAAAAGCGGAGTTAGATTGCCGTATTGATTTTTTTTCTCCTCCCAGTTAATAGAAACGAGGCTTAAAGTCGGTTAAACGTTTAAGAGCCGCTGCTGCTCACACTCACAACACTCAGCGCTGCATATTTATACCAGACCAGAGGAACGATCGTTATTTATCAGCAAAAAAACGTCCAGAGCCTCCAAACGACAAAACCAGGAGATGCTGGGGAATGTGTTTCTGATCGATAAGTGAAGCCATTCATCGGTTCAGTCTGTTTAAGGAGCTGCTCTTTGAATCCTGCATCTGGTTTCATTGCTCGTCTATCGGCGGCGTTGCGTAACACAAACTGAGTTTTACTGCATCCTCCGTCGCTTTGACCCCGTTTACTCCCCGTGCGGTGGAGCTGTGTGTCGGTGCATTTTTTTATTTTACAGAAGCATCATTTGTTCAACGCGGCGTCCAAGAAACACTCCGGCAGGCCGACACGTCGTTTATTAGCCGCCACACATTAAATCCAGTCACGTAAGCCGAGAGCAGCAACCAGAGCTCACATCCTACAGCAAATATTTCACACTTTATCCTGAAAAATGCCGTTTGTGTGGCGTGTTAACGGATATCACAGGTCTGTCTAATATCTAAGGTTCACACACGACTTGTGCTGCTGGTCGCTTCACGTCGAGAATCTGATCCAGTTCTGTGATTTCTAGAAGATCTCTGAGTGTCTCTCTTTATTTATCTTTACAAACATGATTTCATCTCGTGTTCTGCTGCGGTTCTGATGGGACTGTGGCCTGCAGTAGTGTACGGTTTGCACGGTGCTGCTCTGTTGGTGTATGTTTAGCGGTGAACGCTCCCTCGCTGCGCATCTCTTATATAAATGGATGCTGGCTGTAAGTCCAGCTGTGAGGACCAACGTCTGGTCGTCTGACGTGGAGTAACTGTGCTGCTGCTCCGTCTTTACTTCCACCCGCCTGCTGTTCATCCGCCACCGCTCCCATAATCCCCTTCTGCCGCCGCCGCTGCCAGAGGATCAGGGGTCGGGCCGGCCCGTCCTGTCCGCCGAAGGTCAGCGTTTGATCCCGGGCCGGTCCGTCCGGCCGCTGAGCCTCGGAGCGGGACTTTCAGGTTGCTCAGCTGGGAGCAACACCGAAACCAGCAGAAACCATTAAAACCAGTGAGTCAGCTTCCTGCCTGCTGGGCGTCATGTGAGGCGGCTCCACGCCTGATAGCTGCAGCAGAGTGTTGACGGAAGGCGTGGACGCCGATAACGCGACACCTGCCGCAGGTATGAGGCTGCATCGTGACTCATCGGTTCTGCATTTAAAAAACGAGCGTCGTGGAAAAATCCAATCTGTACCTTTATTGTCTTTACAAAGACAGAAAGCTGTTTTTTAATTCTATCGGTTCTGATCCTCGGACCGCTCTCAGCTTTTATTTCTACCTGCATTCATCCGTAGACGATCAGAACCGGTTCGGATTCTGGAGTTAAAATAACTGTTCGTTTTAAAGTGAATTATTTTCAGGCCCAGCAGCTGAAATGCTTTTTTAAAATTATTATTATTTTTTAATATTATTATTTTTCTTTTTTTGGGGGCTGTTATCTGACTGGACCGTAGAGGTAGAGACAGGATGAGGGGAGAAGAAGAATCGGAGACGGACCTGCAGGGCCGTGGGCTGGATTCTGACCCACGACCGCTGCATCGGGGACTACAGCCCCAGCACGCGGGTCGCCGGCTCAGCCCGCTGAGCTACAGCGGCGGCCCAGCAGCTGAAAGGCTTTTTAAAATGCAGATTAATTTAAAGGAGGGACGTCTTTATTTGTCGCTGCCGTTCTTTTATTAAAACAGGAAATAACCTGCGAACACCAGACCCCAGCGTGATTCTGTTTTAACAATTCGATGATTAAATTTAATGTTTGTGGACATTAGCGACTCCGTAGATTCTCACTTTAACTCGACCAGAACCAGAACCAGAGTCTTTTTATTGCTTTTGGTTTCTCGGCAGCGATTCAGAACAAAAGTGTGAAGGTGGACCGGACGGAACATGTCCTTAAATCAGTAAATTCACCACCGGTTCAGACTTTCTGTGATGGCAGCTTGTTAAGCGGTTTCT